AAAAAAAAAAAAATTTTTTTTTTTTTTTTTTTTTTTTTTTTTTTTTTTTTGAGGTGTATGCACACCTCTGCTACCCTTGCCTGCTGCGCCTGCCTACTTAATAATAACTAAGAAAGAAGAAAGAAAAAAAAGGGGGGAAAAAGAAGAAAAAAAAAGACTATTGGGCTCCTTTTTCCTTTTATTATAATATTAATATATTATTAATTATAAAAAGAAGAAATAAATGCAAAATATAAACGTATTTAGTGATGATTAAAGAAAGAAATGAATAAAAAGATTTTTTGCAGCTGCATATACAGCTGGCAACGACAACAGCAGCAGACAGCAGCAGCAGCAGCAGCAGCAGCAGCAGCAATAAAATAGAAGGAAAAAAGAGGCGTTTTTTGTTGTTTTTAATGGTAAAAATATAAAATAAAAACTTTTATGCCAATAATTATTAAAATAAAACACAAAAATAAACACAAAAAGGAGAAAAATGAATCAGAAATGATCTTTTTATGCACAAAAAATATCCCTATTTGCTGCTGCTGCTGCTGCTGTTGCTGCTGCTGCTGCTGCTGCTTTTATGGGGGGGGGCCCCCCCTTACTGCTGCTGCTCGCCTGCTGCGCGATCTACTGTTTCTTTGCGGGGAAAAGCAATAAAAAATACATTTATTTTCTTCTTTTTAATTAATTAATTTAATTATTTTTATTTTTTTCTTTTATTTTCTTTTTTTTAATTAAAAATAATAATAATTAACCCCTTAACTCCCCATGGCAATTCGCCAGCAGGTAATAAGGAGCTCTATGGAGGCGGGCGTCAATAAAAAGAAAGGAAAAGAGGAAATTAATGAATAAATAATACATTCTTATATTTATTTATTGTAAATTTATTTAATTTATTAATTTATTTTTATTATTTAAAAGAATTTCAGATAAAAATGACAAAAATATATAAATAAATAAATTAAGAAAAAATTTCATGAAAAAAATACATGCAATAAACAACCTTATATACTATTTGTTGCTATAAATGTATATTCTTTGTTCTTATTTTAATTACCTTTATTTATTTTTAATTTATTTTATTTATTTTTATTCATTTTAATTATTTTCTGTTTATTTGCTACTTTTTCAGTGTTTATTGCTTATTTTCTGTCCTTTTTTGGCTATTAATCAATAGTACACACTTCAGGTGTATAGGCAGCTCAGGTGTATAATATAATATAAATAACATTAAGAATAAATTAAATATATATTCATGTATATATTTATGTGTATATATGTATACATATCTATAAAATATACATCTTTGTACAAATACACGAACTAAGAAACATACAAATATATAGAGGTTGCTGCTCCTTGTCTGTTGCTGTCGGCCTTCGCTGCTGCTGCTGCTGCTGGTGCTGCTGCTACTGTAGAGAGAACGCTGTATGCATGCATGCATGTATGCATGCATGGCTCATTATGTAGAAGCATGCATGCATGCATATTTGGCAGCTGCGCTTGCCTGCATGTAGGACAGCAGCAGCAGCAGAGCAGCAGCAACAGAAGCAGCAGTAGAAGCAGGAGCAACAGCAGCAGCAAGAGCAACTCTCCCGTGTTGCTGCTGCTGCTGCTGAATTCCCCAAAGAATACGGAGTCTGTCCTCTTTGAGTGTATAGTCTGCTTAGCGTATTTATTATTTATTACTTATTATTATTTATATTATTATTTTATATATTACTTATTATTGTATACTATTATATATAATAATAATAATAATAATAAGACTGTATATATTAATATAATTAAATGTTATTAACATTTATTCATCAAGAAAAAAGAAGGAAAAAGAAATTGTTTGCATGCATCGCATGCGCATACACCGCAGAGTATCTGCAGTCTGCTGCTGCTGCTGCAGCAGCAGCAGCAAGAAAGCCAATTGGCAATGAATGCAATGTGCATGCAGTTATAATTAAGATCAGCAAATTAAATAAAATAGTAAATAAGCAAACAAACAAATAAATAAATAAACAAATAAATAAATAAATAAATAAATAAATAAATAAATAAATATTATTGCCCGTGTATATAGCAAGGATACAACTAAACTAAATAAGAGCATCTATTGACTACCATACATATACACCCCAATTGAGCAGCAGCAGCAGCAGCAGCAGCAATTGCTGAAAGAAGTGCTGCTGCACTGCTGCTGCTGTTGCTATTGCAACAGCAGCACAGCACAAACATAAAAAGAATAAGAAGATAAGAAAGGAATAATAATTTATATTTCCCCTCCTCCTTCTTCTTCTTCTTCTGCTGCTGCTGGTGCTGCATCTGTTATTGTTGTTGCTACATCTGTTGCTGTTATAGCTGCATCTGTTGCAGTTGCTGCTGCAGTTGTTGCTGCAGTTGCTGCAGTTGCTGCAGTTGCTGCTGTTGCAGTATCATTATCCATAGCATCCCTATCTTGTATAATAGAAGAATGATCTTCCTGTTTGCTGTTTTCTGCTGCTGCTGCTGCTGCTGTTGCTGCTGCTGCAGTATTATCTGCATTTTCTGCTGCTGCTGCTGCTGCTGCTGCTGCTGCTGGAGTTGGCAGGAGCAGCTGCTGCAGGGACTGCATGCGTTGGATCCATAATTGTTGTTTATAATTTTTTTTTGTTATAATACCTGATAAGAAGAAGAGAGTACCAATAATAATAAGAAAAAAACCTAAAGAAATAAGATCTAATATAATTAATGCTTTTTTTTCTTCTTTTTCTTCATTACCTATTAATGAATATCCTTGCCATTCTATTGATCTCCATACACTCGAATCTATACCCTCGTATATACGTATAAATATACCTGAATATTTACATATACATATATACATATATACATATATACATATATACATATTTACATATACATATATTTACGTATATACGTATAAATATACCTGAATATTTACATATACATATATACATATTTACGTATACATATACATATATTTACGTATATACGTATAAATATACCTGAATATTTACATATACATATATACATATATACATATTTACATATACATATATTTACGTATATACGTATACATATACATATATTTACGAATATACCTATAAATATACCTGAATATATACATATACATATTTACATATACATATGCATATACATATTTACATATACATATACATATACATATACATATACATATACATATACATATACATATACATATACATATACATATACATATTTATGTATATACTTATATTATACGTATACGTCTACATATACATATTTACGTATATACGTATAAATATATCTGAATATACACATATACATATATACATATTTACGTATATACGTATACACGTATACATTTACATATTTACGTATATACATATACGTATTTACGTATATACCTATACATATACATATATACATTATACATATATATTACATTTATTATTAATATGATGCATTAACCTCTATTATTATAATTATTATTTACTTGTTTATTATTATTATTATTATTATTATTATTATTATTATTATTATTATTATTATTATTTATTATTACTGATAAGCTATGCTGTTATTTATTTATTTATTTAATTATTTAATTTGCTTTTGTTTATACCTTTATACACTGTATTGTCTACAGACATATGTAGATATATGTATATCTATATTAAATAAATAAATAAATAAATAAATAAATTAAATAAATAAAATAATTTATATGTAAATACCTGCAATAATAGTGCCTAATAAGACAAGAGAGAGGCCAATAGTTGTTCGTCTATCACCAAGGAAAGCTTCTCTTTTTCCTTCTTTGCTTTCTGCTTCTCTTCTCTTAATAAAGAATATATCTGCAGCTTCTGTATCTGCTGCTGGTGGTGGTGGTTCTGCTGCTGCTGTTTCTGCTGCTGCTGCTGCTGTTGCTGCTGTTTCTGGTGCTGTTGCAGCCGTTGCTACTGTTGCTGCTGTTGCTGCTGTTGGTGATGCTGTTGCAGGAGACAGCTGATTGGTGGTAAGAAGATAAAGTTCATCAAGAGCCTGACGAGAGGTAAGAGGGCTCTTATTAGTGCTGGTGGGGGACCCACCGGGAGAGAAGCGATTCTCTAAGGAAGAAAAGGCTATTCCTTCTTCTTCTCCTAACTCTGCAGCAGTAATAAGGTCTTCTTGCACATCTAAATCGGATATTGTCTCATTGAAACAAACAATGCAAAGAAAATGATGCATGCATAACAGCAAGAAGATGGCGGTAGTGCAGGCTGTAGTTGGTCGTACACCCCGAGAAAGCGAATACATGTTTACACTTTTAATGAAGAAAAAAACGGGAAAGCAATGAAAAAAGAAGAAAATAAATTAAAAAAGGATAAATAAAAGGGATCCATTCAAGAATAATACGATGATTCAATCTTATTTGGCTTTCTTTTCCTCTTTCTTACCGTCACATTCAATAACAACTCGCAAGCAGAAACTGGTGCATGCATTGCATCCTCAGACGGGGAAAAAGAGTAAAAAGATAAAGACAGTAATTGTCATCAAACTTAATTAAGAAAAGAAGAAAAATTGAAGAAAAACCGCAAAAAGTTTATTCAACTTTCCTTTGATCTGTTGCCGCTCGAAGGCGAGGAGGAGGGAAAAAGAAGGCAATCTGCGGCACATTAAAAAAAAAATGAATTCAATCTCCTCTTTTAATTAATTAAAAAGACGAGTAAAAGAATTATTTTTCTTTATTTTTTAATTTAATGAGAGAAAAACAACAAAAGGGGGGAGGAAGACCACTCGGCCTGCTTCTGTGTGGCTGCTGTGTCGAGCAGCTTGCATGGATTATTACGTCTCGCTGCATGCATATACACTCCATAGGTAGAAAAACCATTTAAATTAATCTTTTTAATTAATTAATTTTATTTTAATTATAACTAAAAAAAATATAATATATTTAAAGCAACAAATTGAACAAAAAAAGACGTCGTCATGCATACACTGACCGGTCCTATTCAGGATCGTGATGGTAATCGATG